TTGTGACACTATGTGTCACAATTGCACTCTTTCGAGACTCGCAAAGATAGCACTTATTGAACAAGCATGACCGTAACATTACACACTTAAAAGAAAAAAACTCATACCAATTAACTTTGTAAATTTGAACTTCAGACAAACACGTACATCTTAGACGCCGACCAATCTCTTAAACCCTTGAAAGTAATCTTCCAATCTTAACCTAAGATATAGAATTCACGTGTCTCAAATGTAGATTATAGATAATATTAAATTGAGTGATTTGAAGAACCAAACAGTGACACACATGTCTAAGCTTCTTTTTTTCAAGATTCAATCATAGACCAAACCGAAACAAATTTTAAAGTTCATGAACATAACCCATAATTACAGAACGAAACGAAACAAAACAATAACAAAAGTCCAATACATAGCTCGATTCCTTTGAAGTTACAAGATGCTTTAACTTTCTTCCCTTGATTTAGGGTTCATGTTTTTGGTTTGACCCCTTTTTTGAGTTCATACAAACACAAACAAAGACCCCACACCACGATGCCTTCATTGGTCTCTATTATTGTTCATCTTTACAATATTCTCCTCCATGCATAGCGACACCCCACAAACTCATATAATCTCTACAAAATCCTTCATACAATACACAATATGAAGAAGAAACATCACGTAGAATTCAAAGATGCCAATTTAGAAAGGACATCATCCATCAGAACCCGTAATGCAATGCCTTTACAAAAGGGTTTCTGAATTGGAGCATTACTTTGCATGCCCTAGAACAAAAGATGTTTCTTTTTCATATATATTATTGGGTCTTTGCCCTTTTAGGGCTCTCCGACAGGCTTGTTTGTGGCAGTGGGTTTTGTGTTAAAGGGTGGTCAAGTGGGAGGCCATTTTTAGGGAACAAAAGTGGCCATTTGTAGGGCATATGAGGAAGGCCTTAGGGTATGGAGGGTTTTTGACAAATTAAGCCATCTTCTTGTCTTCTTACATCTTACTACAACCAAAGATCATTGCTTTTCTTTCTTTTCTATTCTTTTTCTCTTAATAATATCAATTTCAAACCGACCCACACAAAGGAATGTCTTTTTTTATTCAAAAAAACTCACTTATGTCAATTATTTTGTTGTTTGGAACATACCCCACTTCATTAAAAAAAAAAAAAAAAAACACCTAGTGTTTTGTCTTTTTTTTGGTCTTTCATTCACCACTCACTCTCCCACACACACCCATTGACACGAAAGTCAATCAAAGTTAATTTGGATAAGAACGAGTCATGCCACTTATCAGCTATCACTTTTGCATTCCTTCGAGATATTACTATACATTTCTCGTAAAACGATCAGAAAAATTTCTAGTATTACAGTAGTATATATTATCGAACGGAAAGAAGGGTATGTTTTATTTTGTAATGTAATTTGAAAGGCATCAAAACTAGGGCAACCCTTAGGATTAACTTTGTATCTTTGCCTTGAAGTGAAGATAGAGATTATAATATATGAGAGGAAAACTAAAAAGGTTCCACTATAATAAATTGGATTGGATTCCACATTTATACTCAACCCAACCAATGAGATCTTCCAATAGAGGCATTTGAGAAAGATGGTGCTCTCTTTCTATGGTCAAACTTCAAAGTAACTTTTGTGGAATATTGAATTATCAATGTCAGCACGAAGTTAACGATGATGATGATGCTAACATGTGATAATTGATAGTGACGAACATCTACTACTGTAACTTATAATCGTGATGAATCATTGTCAAACATTCGAAAATTGTAAATCGAAAAAGCAACTCACGTCTACCAGACATGTCATAAGGAAGAAAGAAGTTTGAAAGTCGTTGGTCTAAGTTTTACTACGACTTCAAATACGCAATCATTATGAACAACAAATTATCCAATAAAAATGACTCGAGAAGAAAAAAATTAAGAACCATATGACATTTGAGTTTAAAACAACTAGGTATGTGTATCAATTTGGAACGAATGAGGACTTGGTCATTGGCAAAAAGCAATACGGAAGCATGCTTCCTCCCATTGTCATATCCATACCAATCCATTAGGTTTTGACCAATTTCCTCCCTTTTTACCCAAAATTGTTCTATTCATTAATTATTTTTTACACAAAAAAAAAAAAAATAGAAAGAATAATAATAATAATAATAATATCATTTAAATGTCAATTATATATATCTTTAAATAATTAAATACGACGATTAATTTGAATCTAAAAGGAATTTAAAAGGTTATTTATTTAGTTCCTTTTTAAAATAAATAGTTTTTTTTTTAGAAAATAATAAATAAAAAGGTTTTTATTGGGTTTGGGCCTGTAGGTTTCTGTCACTTTCATTGTTGGTGGAATTGGAAAAATTGGGCCCCAAAGCAACAAAATTAAATTAAATTAAATTAAATTAAATTAAATTATTCTTTTCTTGAAAAGTCTACAAATTTTTTTATTGGGTTAGGCGAGTTATATATATATATATATATATATATTGCAGTTTTATTTTTTAAAAATTCCTGCAATTGTCATTACGTATTTATATTCTTATTTGATGCAAAATTACAAATTTGTACTTCATAAGCAATCAAAATTCATTTAAAAAAATTGGAATTCCAAAAATTTTGTCTTCTTTTTAATTTAAAAAATAAATAAAAATAAAAAATAAAATTAATATTCAATATTTGTAGTATTGTTTTGAAATTCGAATTTAGAAAAAGGCCCATAGTAAAGGCCCAGTTTGGTTTTCATTTGGGTTTTGGGCCCAGCCCATCCCATCTCACCATTTTGAATTGGCCCAGTTCTTTTTGCAAAGCCCACGACCATCTTTGATGGTATACCATGCAAGTTAGGGTAGGGGTAGAATGGGCGGTTAGATGAACACGACTCTCTACAATAGTATGATATTATCCATTGAGTATAAGCTCTCATGGCTTTGGTTTGGGCTTCTCCAAAAGGCCTCATACCAATGGAGTTAGTATTCCTCACTTATAAACCCATGATCATTCTCTAAATTAGCCGATGTGGGACTCTCATCATCCAACATGGGCAAGCGAAGCTCGAAAATAGCTATCCTACTTAATGGACCAACGGGCGAAACGAGGAGAGAGCCCGATAATCATACCTACTGCTTTCGAAAAAGCATATTCCCTTCAAATAAGACACACCGTCTGTCGTCCTCTAATTTCTTTGTATTTTATGAAAAATAAACTCAATTTCGAAGATAGAATTATTCTCGAAAAGCAGTCTCCCTCAACTATACGATACCATTGTTTCCATTTTTGAAGCTATCGTCGATTATACCATATTAGCAAACTCAGCTTCTTCCACTTGAACTGTTCTCCTTTTAAGATGGGAGATTCAACTTTTCTTCACCATTCTTATATGATATTAAGACATCCGAGGAAGAATTGGGATAAAGTCAACTTTATTTTTCTGAAAATGGATAGTCATTAAAATTTTATTGTTTTATATAATTTTTTATTATTATTATTATTTTGAAGATATTTGGACAATGGTAATACTTTTGAAAAATACATGGTAGTTTCCTAAATTTCTACCAAATTTAAAAAACATTAAAAAAAAATGAAAAACAGGACATGTTTATATTAAAAATTGAAAGAACCAGAAACGTGAATGTCATGAAACAAGAAAATGGGATCGGACAACAACAACTATAACTTGGAATCCACCTCAATTTTTGCTAAATTGAGGACCCAAATGAGGATTTTTTAAGCCAAAGTTTTTCTTTTTAAGGAAATCTTCAACGTTCATCAATAATCATAATGTTCTTTATTATATACACGTGTCTATGTTTAAATGTTCCCTACTTTAGGCTTAAGAAAAGCATATTCATTCTCTTCCTTTATAATTTTTGTGTATATTCCGTCTTTAAACTGACTGTAATTCAGATCTGTTTTATGCACGACAAATTCTTCACGATTTGATCCTCCAAAAGAAATTTTATAATATAATTAAATATATAATAATTGAGGTAAAAGGTGAGTGACACAGTCGGGTCCACGTAAGAGTTTGTGAGAAACTTGTGGCAAACACAGACCATGAAATCCTATGATTCAATCCCTATCACATATATGGAAACTCCCATCTCTTTGATATCTTATCTTTACTACAAAATCAAATATTCATAATAATAATAATAATAATAATAATAATAATATATTCATAAATTTCATTTATTTGTTAAAATAAAATTTTCGTGTATATACTATATAAGTTTAATCACTTGGTTTAAATGTAATTTTCGTACAAAATTTATTAAATAATAATAATTTTTATGTAAGAAAGGAAACCACGTGAATACTTTTTTTTTTTTTTTTTTATATTAGATACCGATGGTTGTGTGTCTAACCATTGGCCACCCAGACACGTCGAGGAACACGAGATTTTTTTTTATAGGAATTCCAACAAAAATTGAAAGGAGAAGATAGTTCCAAAATTTGCCATTAAAACAAAAGGGTTTCGGTAGATATTGAAAAATTTCACTTTTACTCTGTTAAATAAGCGAACGAGTATCACAATTGCAGTGTTTTGAGACTCGTTATCACGATTGTGCATTGAAATAGACATGCAGCTAGATACAACATACCCGGGTTAAGAACGGTGTACGTTGGACTAAGTAATAAATTGGAAATCTTAATTATAATAATTTTATTTATAAAGAAAACCCTAGGCTATGAGGGTGATACCGAGGGGGAGAAGATAGAGGCTGCAAATGAGTGTGGATAAAGGCGTGTGTTCAACCGGCCAATCACAGCGCAGAGATATCGCAAATCCTTCAATTTCCCAATCTCAATTTCAAATCCTTTCTTTTTCTCTCTCTGATTTGATCCAAATTTCTCAATTCCCAATTCCTAATTTTTGTTTTTCTACCCACCAACTCTTATTTTCTTGCACAAACCACCTTCCACCACTTCTTCTTCCCATTTGACGACCTCCACCATTTTTGGTTTCCACTCCTCTCCTCTCCTTCCGCTTCGCCGTATTGGGTTTAGGGCTTCCTTTCCATGGCTGTTTCAACCAGTTTTTCCGGTACCAAATTGGAAGCCCTTTTATTGAAATCGGCGGCGACTTCCTCTTTTTCTCACCTTCCCCTTTTCTGCAAATCCATTCGGAGCAGGAGAATCCCATTTCAGAGAAGTGAGTTTTCGTCTTTGAGGTGCGAGGTTGCTTCATCGGATGTTTTGGTTCAGAATGATGAAATTGATCGGGCGAAATCTTCCAATCTCTCCGCGCTTGAACAGCTCAAAACCTCTGCTGCTGACAGTATGTATTTCCCCTTTTTGCTACTTTATTGCTTGAATCGGCTCTAGAATCCTAATTTCGACATTCCCAATTCATCAATGTTTAACTTGCATGATTAGCTTTTGGGTATCTGATTGAGAATTTTAGAAAATGCTATATGATTGGAAGAGTTCACTGAAATTTTGGGTTTGCTCTGTATGGAAATTAGGATATACAAAGGAGAGAAGCAGCATTGTTGTGATTGGGCTTAGTATTCATACAACACCTGTTGAAATGCGAGAAAAACTGGCTATTCCTGAGGCAGAGTGGCCTCGCGCCATTGGAGAGCTCTGTGGCTTAAACCACATAGAAGAAGCAGCTGTTCTTAGCACCTGCAACAGAATGGAGATATATGTTGTTGCTCTATCTCAGCATCGTGGAGTGAAAGAAGTGACTGAATGGATGTCTAAGGTTCCTTCTTTTCTCTTCGTTTTCTTTTAAGTTTCGGGAGCTGAAAATGAACTGTCCTGTTGTTGTTTTCATTGATATTAACATTCATAATTGTTCAAAACTCCTTGTTCATGTTAGAATATGCTCGTATGCTTTTGTTTTCTCTTCTTTTCAAGCATCTCCACCGCTTTTATGTTTCCAAATGTGTCATAGATTCAACTCTTAGTAGCCATCTGCTTAGAGATAATGAATATTTGGATGAGTCTTCATTATGTCAAAATTTCAATGCTAGATAGTTGTTTATTGAAAGTTTAGAAAAGGATTGTATCATCTGAAAGAATATGTTTTCAATTTTGATGTTATGTGTTAGAATGAAATTGTATGAATTGCTGGTTGTTTTCAGACAAGTGGAATCCCGGTTTCGGAAATTTGCCAGCACCGGTTCTTGTTGTATAACAACGATGCCACGCAACATATTTTCGAAGTTTCAGCTGGCCTTGACTCCCTTGTCCTAGGAGAAGGCCAAATCCTTGCTCAGGTTAAACAAGTTGTCAAGGTTGGGCAGGGTGTTGCAGGATTTGGAAGGAACATTAGTGGCCTTTTCAAGCACGCCATCACGGTGGGTAAGCGGGTGAGGACGGAGACTAATATTGCTGCTGGAGCTGTTTCTGTGAGTTCAGCTGCTGTAGAATTGGCCTTAATGAAGCTTCCTGAACCCTCACATGCCACTGCAAGAATGCTGGTGATTGGAGCTGGTAAGATGGGAAAGCTTGTTATTAAACATTTGGTAGCTAAAGGCTGCACAAAGATGGTCGTGGTGAATCGATCGGAAGAGCGAGTCACAGCCATCCGTGAGGAAATCAAGGATGTTGAGATCATCTACAAGCCGCTCACCGAAATGCTTAGTTGTGCAGCTGAAGCAGATGTGATATTCACCAGCACAGCTTCTGAAAGCCTTTTGTTTACAAAGGAGGAGGTTAAGAATCTCCCCCCTGTTGGGCATGATGTTGGGGACCTAAGGCTTTTCCTCGATATCTCCGTTCCTCGAAACGTCGGAGCATGCATCAATGATCTAGAAAATGTACGAGTTTACAATGTTGACGACCTTAAGGAGGTAGTTGCTGCAAATAAGGAGGATAGGCTTCGAAAAGCTATGGAAGCACAATCAATTATCACTGAAGAATCCAAACAATTTGAAGCATGGAGGGATTCATTGGAGACTGTTCCAACAATCAAGAAACTGAGAGCATATGCAGAAAGAATCAGAATGGCTGAACTCGAAAAATGTCTTTCAAAGATGGGTGATGACATCCCAAAGAAAACTCGACGAGCCGTGGACGATCTTAGTCGTGGTATAGTTAACAAGCTGCTTCATGGTCCAATGCAGCATTTGAGATGCGACGGTAGCGACAGCAGGACATTAAGCGAGACGTTGGAGAATATGCACGCGTTAAATAGAATGTTCAGCCTCGAGACAGAGATAGCAGTGTTGGAACAGAAGATCAGAGCTAAAGTTGAACAAAACCAGAAGTAATATGAAACTCTCATTTAGTTTCAGTGTTGAAAATAAGGGGAAAACTCCTCAGTCAGCTCGGTTCGTCGTGATCTCGAATTCGAATTCGTAAGTACTCTGGATTAATACCTCCGTTGTGTTGGCTTGTTCCTTGTGCATTATTATTCACATCTGTATCTGAAATGTTGTTAAGTTTTGTAATTAAGATACTGATTTTCTTCAATATATAGAGATAATCCTTGATTCTTCTGTCATTCTGTGATATCTCTTCAGTCAGTATGGATATTAATTTACTCTGAATGGTATTGGGATTGCAATGGTTTCAGTGAATCACATGGACAGATCAAGATCAGTGTAATTTAGTGAATTTAAAACTGTTTGAGTTTCAATGCTCATGTGAAGCTGAAGCTTTTCTTGTGCAAAAGTTCTGTTATATTTTACTATTATCTTATTTTAACCACCCGATTTGTAGCAAAAATGGGTATAATCATGTTCTAGTTAGAGTGTTCAATATAATGGAGATGGGATTTTTTTTTTTCTCGGGGGGCGAACTAGCTATAGCCGATCTGTGAGATCTAACCTCGGTTGGATATGAGAATGAATCATTTGTATAAGGGTGTAGAACCTCTCCTTAACAGATACGTTGGTGATACGTAGCGGATCAAGCAGACAATATTTGTTAGTGGTGGGTTTGGGCCATTACAATGGTATTAGAGCTAGACATTGAGCGGTGTTCCAGCGAGAACGCTATGCCTCAAGGGAGGTGGATTGTAAGATCCCACGTTGGCTGAGAGAGAAATGGAGTTTTTCTTATAAGGGTGTGAAAATCTTTCCATTTTAAAACTGTAAGGTTGATGACGATAGAAATGAGTGTGAAAGCTTCTCCTTAGTAGACCATTTAAAAACCGTAAGGTTGGCGACAATACGTACGTACCGGGCCAAAGCGGACAATATTTGCTAGCAATGGGCTTGGACCATTTCCAATGGTATCAGAGTCAGATACCAAAGTCAGTATTGTCCGGCTGACAGCGATACATAATGAACCAAAATAGACAATATTTACTAACGGTAGGCTTGAGCTGTTACCTGTTACAAATGGTAGGAGAGAGCCCGTCACCGGATGGTGTGGGACACTAGTTGGAGTAGGGCTAGACCCTCTCCATAGTAAACGTGTTTTAAAATTGTGAGGTTTACGACGATATGTAACGGACCAAAAGCGGACAGTATCTGCTAGCAGTGGGCTTGCGTTGTTATACAGGCAGCCGAGACAAGCCGAAGCCCAATCAAGTCACCCATGAGGTAACGAGAATGGCCTTACTCAATCAGCCCAAGTCGAGGAGTAAGGCCGACCATTAGAAAAGGATGTGGCCTACCGAGTTGAGTATTAACTAGGTCAAGGCTTTCCCTTACTTCTTTCCAACTATTCCGATACATTGTACGGTCTTATATGTCAAGAAAGGAAACGTACAAATCAAAGGAACAATATTACAATTAAGTTACGCGATTATTATCGCGTCTCAACTCACTCTTAATTAGGTATTTGAGTGAAGCAGTTATAGCTTCAAATCAATACAAGTGATGTGTAAATACTCACTTAATTTATTAATAAAATATAAAAATTATTCAAAATATATTTTTAAAATGAAAATTGGTATATAATTGCATTTATTGTCCCACATGTATTGAGAATAATATGTTTTCATAATTATTGAATTCTAATAACTATTTTCCACCTTCTAATAACGAAAATATATATTTTTTAAAAATAAAGCAAAAGATATTTAAAATTAATTCTCAATCATTTGCATAAACATGTAACATTGTCACGTTTAAATTTCTAGCAAAAACCTAAACCAGCCGACATCAATTAAAAATATATAATTAATTAATAATATAGTTTCTAGACAAGTATTTAATCGATAATTACCTAAATTAATATTACAATGACAACGTTAAAAAAATATATGTCAATGATCGTGAAAACAATTCATGTCACTATTTTTGTTTTTGTTTTTTTAGTGATACATGTCAATTATAGTTATGTTTAGCTAAATTTCTTTAAATGCTGTCACGTTTTAAAAGCTATAAATTATTGTCTATTTTTCACATACTCCACGTTTGTAATGACGGTAGATAATTCGAGTCTTTCAAAACATGAGTCAGTACAATAGCAAAGACGTATTTTGTTGTTAGTAATAAATTAAATGGGTGTTTTTCATCTTACTAACTAGTGTTAGAAAACACTCCACAAGTTGCAAGAGTCCAAGCTCACAGCTAGAAATGACTTTGTGGGATCTCACAATATACCTTACCTTCAAAATCTAGCGTCCTCGCTAGCACCCCACTTACACCCACCTTTGGGGTCTGGCATTCTCGCTGACACACAACTCAATAATTAGCTCTAATATCATTTGTAACAGCTCAAGCTCACCATTATAGCAAATATTGTCTTGTTCAGGGCTTTTCCCTTGTACGATCTTCTCACACTCTTATAAAAAAATATTCCGTTCATCTCTCCAACCAACGTAGGATTCCATCCCCACCAATCTCGGCCATCAAATTCAAAACCGACCAAATTTGATATTACCAATGCCCCCATCATTGAATCATTAGTAGTAATATATATATATAAAATAAAAAAGAAGAAAAGGTGGAACTTTTGGTTGAATAAAGAAGAATAAAAAGAAAAACAAAAAGGCCCATCTTTCTCTACATGAAACCTACACAAAGCTGAGTGTAAGCATGGAATTCATGAAACCCAGAACACAATCCATGATGATGTGAAAACCCCACTTTGCCCCCACAAATCCTTCTCTCTACTGTACTGTTTTTTACCCTTTTTCGAAATCAGTCCTCGCCACAGCTTCTAGAACCTGGCGTTTTCGAATCCGTGCAAATCGCCGACTCTACTTCTCAGCGATTTTTTCATAATCGCCACTCTCGCCAGCTTCTCCGCAGCTCTCCACGCCGACGTCGGCGTCAACGGCTCTCCGTTTTCGTCCACCATCGTCGGACCTTCCTTGTCGCCGCCACCTCTCCTAACTGGCGTTGTCGTCATTATATGCTGCTGCTGCTGCTGCTGATGTAATTCAAATTGTTGCTGCCTTCGCCATTGGAGCTCTGCCAGCTCTACTTCCAGCTCACGCACGGACACGTCAGCACTGGTTGATCCTGATTGGATTAGTAATGCACGCGCCGACGCCAGTAAATGATGCGCGCTTGTATGATCTTCGTATTCGATTAATCTCCTGGATTCTGCAACAGCGCGGGTTGTTATGAACGTGTTTCTCAGCCGTTCGAACTTCGGAGCGGATGATCCGACGGCTATTGGGCGTGCGATGAGGATGTCTTGTTCTCGGCTATACACTACTTCTTGTGTGGATGGGTCCTTGTAGAGACACTGCATAGTCATCACGTGGTGGGTCCCAGCCGCCGATGTCGGAATCTTCAATTCTACGAGTAATTCCCTTTCCTCCTCGGCGTATAAATCGCCGAGCCGGACCGAACCCAAGCTGCAGACCGTAGGCCGTCCTGTACAGGAATATATGGCGGAGATCACGACGGGAGAGGAGCCGGTCTGGAAGCCCAGCTGAATACGGAGATCTTGAACCACCACGCTTAATAACCCGCTAACGCATTTTGCAAAGGCGTCCTCCGCCGGTTCTTGACAGTATCCGCCGCTCTTTCCAAATCCGGATGCGTGAACCGGGATTTCTATATGGGCGAACCGGGTGGATGACTCGTGCTTCCTCAAATGCCGTTGATTAGAATGGATCCGCTCGTCTTGGCCGTCGGATAGAAGCATGATACTGGCAACCGGGTTTTTCTCTCGCCGGTCCTCGAGTACTTTTGTGGCCTTTCTCAAAGCCTCCCCCACGCTGGATCCTTGGCTGCAGACCAGCGCGTCGATCACGTGCAGAGCTGCACGTTGGCCTTGAGCCGACATTCTCCTCAACGGCAACACCCTTTTGGGGGTGGCGGAGAAAGCGACGACGGCGAGTCGGTCCGACGAGCCCAACGACGAAATGACCAATCGCATGGCTCGTTTCAGCATCATCAATTTGGGCCCCGTCATGCTTCCACTTACGTCTAGCACCGCCACTAAATCGATCGGCGCACGTCGGGATGGGTCTAATAAATTCGCGTTGGCTCTGTTTCTGGCCGGATGCGGTGGTGGCGCTTTTACTTTCAGAGCCACCGCGTAAGTCTCGTGGGTATGTCCGGATGAAATCAGCGCCGTTTCAGGGAGGAGTCGGACCTGAACATTGGTCCTCTGATTTAAAGATTTGACGGAACTCGAAGGCGGCTTTGGGTTAACAAAGAAGCCTTGAAATTCCTCAACATCTTCTTGGTTCTCATCTGCTTCAGGGATGGGGATAATCCGGCCGCCGGTGGTGGGGGACAAAAGGGGCTCGTCGTCATCGTAGGACCTGAATTCCAATGGCTTGGATTTAAAGGCTGTGGGGGAAGATTCAATCATGGGTTTATCCTGAATCTTGGGTTTAGAATCATGTTGGGTCAGTGGGCCCAGATTTTTATGGGCGGCGAGCAGAGGAACGTCTTTCCATGTGGTGTTGCAGACTGGACAAACAAGAGAGGCGTGGTTTCTGACATGAGCGGCTATACAAGGAAAATGAAACGCATGGCCACACTCCGCCGTGTAAATCGCCGTCCCATGTCCCGTCTTCACGCTACTCAAACAGATTCCACAGCTACTCTGTTTCGAGAAAACAGAACAGAACACAAAAACCCCATAAGTCAAATTCGTAAATTCCCTAAAAAAAAACAGAGAAAACCCCAGAAATCTTACTCTAAACTTGAAACTGTTCTTGAAAAGCGAGAGTTTAAGAGGGGAACGAGGAGAAGACGGATTTGAACCCAAAATCCCTCGTTGAGATTTAGCAGATTTGGGAGTAGAAGCAGAGGAAGAAGAGGTCTTGCATTGGAGCGTGGTGGACTTCTCAACAGCGTCGTGAGTTGTCCGACAGCGAAGGCCAGGGCTAGTCAGTGGCTGATTAGACTGCAGTCGAGGAGTAGAAGGGTTGCTGAAGAAACCCAATCGGACACAGCTTCTAGGACTGGGATTAGCGGTGCCGGAACTCCTCTGTTTCTCTGAATTAGAATCTGAATCTCGAGAAACAGTAGTACAGAAGGCCTTCCTCCAACCAGTACCCATTTGGGGGAAGAGAAAGAGAAGAAAAGGGTCGATGAAAATGGAGTCAGTTTAACGAAGGAACAGAGGATAGATCTGAAA